GGGGGGGGGGGGGGGGGGGGGGGGGGGAGAGCACGTTTAACAGGACACGATCACATCATACAGAGGGTGAATGACAGCATGCAGGCAGAGGCAGTGCGGAGGCCTGTGCACCGGCAGAAAGAATTGGGGGCAGACTCTCTCTCTCTCTCTCTCTCTCTCTCTCTCTCTCAAGCGCACATGCCGCAGTAGGCAGCGGTATTAAGATGGGCAACCACGCTGCGCACAGTGGCAGACAGTTGGCACACAAATGGGCAGGAGGGTGTGTGGAGGAGCATAAGCAGGGCACACGGAGGCAAGGGGAGTAGAGAAGATGAGAGAGGGAACATGAGAAAGATGGAGGGGTGGTCGGATTTTTGGCAGAACGGTTTCCAGTCAATCATGGCACAAGTACACAAGGCATGAGAGGCAATAACGGTGGGTCGTTGGGCCTGTGGTACCACGCAAACGGCCCATATCGATGCTCAGTCTTAAAATCCTGCGATGATCTGGGCCGTTGACCCGGCAGGGCCTGACAGTGGGGATTCTACATCTGTTACATTGCTGCAACGATCAGGGCCATGGCCCAGTAGGACAGGGGATGGCCCGCATTCAAGTTTTGTTACATAAGGAGTCTTTAAAGTGTGCGGCCGTTAAAAAGAAAACATATATGCAAAATTCTGTATGAGAGAAAAAAGAAAACATATATGCAAAATTCTGTATGAGAGCACCCAAGCTAAATCTCAATGGAGCTCGGTCTCGAATCTGACTATAACACCCACAATCACTGCTAGATACGCAGCAATAGGCATGAAATAAATGGAGAGCTTCAGAACAGGAAGGACAGAGGCATGATGCAGGTACAAAAGACATCAGAGGGAGGGAGACATGGATGTACGCAGGCTGAGGGTTCTATTAAGACAAAACAGAGTAAGCACCCTCCTGAGTACAGGGTATCGCATAACGACTCTTGAGAGAAAACAAATAACATCAAGCAGGCACATCCAGTATTCTGAAGCAACGCACTGACCTCTCGATCTGATTCCTTGGAAGACAGACTTCTTCGACGGGGGGATGGTGAATGCCTGGAGCGAACAGGAAACAGGTGTCCAAGTGTACAGGACTGTCAAAGAGGGCCTCCTGCGAAAGCATGTTACTTTATGCACAGATATCTTCACCGAGTAGAACTTCCTCAGAGTTTCATCGAAAAAGTGAAAGAAAGAAAAAGAAAAACAGAACTCTGCACCAGTCATCCACCACATTCACTCAGTTATCCGTCGTGTTTTATTGTGTTTCATATTGTTTGTGAGGCCGTCTGCCCCTGCACATACTTTCTATACAAGACTATCCTGTGCCAGGCACAACAGAGCCACCAGCATGAACATGGGAACTCAGCCCGTGCCACCAGAGCCCCATACATGAGCATCAAGCTGGTAGAGGCTTGGAAGGGTAGCCGAACGGCAGAGTCGCATAGCATTGTCCTCAAGTTTAGGAATTCAACATACCCATAACCAATCTCCATATAATATCTATAGATTCTATACAGAGTTACAGACGTTGCACCAACCACTACTGAGATGTTTCACCGACCACTACTCAGTTTAGGAAGTCGGCATACCCATTACCAATCTCCATACAAGTTCTATACAGACGTATAGACATCGCACCAACCATTGCATAGCGACATGCCCTCGGCTATTAAGGATGGTTACACGGGAAGAAAGAGTTGTGGTCAGGGGGAAGGATAGTTTCCACGTCTTGGAATGATCCTGCAGCGACAGTGACCTGACCACCGCCTCAAAAATCCGCGTTGCCCACTCCCACATCCAGAAAATTCCAGACCAACTTCTCACAATCTCATTTGCCACCGAAGTTATAGCTCAGATGATATGCAGCTGTCAAACTATCTTCGCAGCATGGATACATCGCAGAAACTACCCCCCATCGCCTACTGCTCACAGTGCAATACCCCTAAACTATCACCACCACCTGTACCCCTTGGCCGCTGCCTCCTGCTCATTTTTACTCTGCTTTCCGGTACTTACGCATTCCCTTCATATACCAAGACCGACCCCCTTGCTTGCCCTCAGTCTTTGCCTTCTTCGCTGCTTCGGTTTTCTCGTTTTTCTTGTTCATTTCTAAGTCGTTATCTGTTTTCTCCAATGCCATATTTCTACCCAGTGTCAATATCCTCCTCTTCCTCTCTCACATCCTCTTCCTCTTATTCTTTCCCTCAGCAACCTAGCACTGGTTCCTTCTCCCTCCCTCGCCATCTCTTCCCTTCTGAACCTCCTCTCCCAATTACATATTTTTCTCCTCGTGCACATTTTTATCCTGTGCTTGTTTCACCACCTTACTGCTGCACCTCCAACTTCGCTCTTTCTTAATATTTTGCCTACTCCGTCATTACGTCAGAAGTTCAAAGTTTAACATTTTTTTTTTTTGGATCATTTCTCGATTTATGTGTGTCATCTTTGCGCAGGGGCCATGCTAATCTTCTCTGTATCGTTCCAATTTTAACGGATGTCCCGAAGGACAGTTTAACATTTTCACATTCCTCGCAAGCCTGGAGTTTCTATCCTTACTTCTGAGTCCTGCATTTCTGCATTTGTTTTTAAGTCCCTGCATCGTCTCCCGCCTTCACTTCTTCCTCCACCTCTTCATCAACCTGGATGACGAGAGGTGGGCGAGAGGGCAAGAGGAGCACAAGGTACGAGATGCACTACCATTTCTGTTTGATGGTCCAACTTGGAAACAGTATCTGGACATAGATGTGAACAATATCGTTCTCCATTGATGTGATTATCAGCAACATATTCCCTCCACATTCATCCCTATTCCCTGCCTTTACCCTTGCCACAGAAAGATCACATCACTATTGTCACATTCTTTTCACCAAATGTGTCACAGTCATGCTCGACGATGCACAGTGCACACAGAAGTGTCCATCTTGTATTCGTCCCCCTCCTCATTTGCCTCCCCCACCTCTTTTCTGCTATGGTATCTTTCTTGTTTTCTCCTGAATTTTTATCATGTTCCCACTTCGACGCCACAATGCCATCATACCCCAGTTGCTCTTGCTCCGAAAACAACTTCACGATGAAACTTCACATGCAAATCACAATGCCATCATACCCCAGTTGCTCTTGCTCCGAAAATAACTTCACGATGAAACTTCACATGCAAATCATCTGATCTCTTTCTCACGCTCTGCACTTATGTTGCCCTTACATATCTCATCCATCCCCCTTGTGAGTACATGCACTTGAGCGTGCAAAGACGCTTTTTACTCCATGGTCCCTCTTCATCTTCGTTCTTCTACTTCTGGTTCACCATTATTCTTTTTCAGTGTGTCCTCCAGACCCACAAAACTCCACGCATGAACACAGTTGTGCACCAGGGGCACCTTGCCAGAACAATGCAGTGCCAAAGTGCCTCAGTTCTTTTTTCTCTCAACAGATTGCAGAGAAGTTCCTGAAAGATAACTGCAGAGCATTCTACTTGTGAAATACGCAAACGTGCATCGGGCTCCTTTCCCTTTTACGTCTACTTGTGAAATACACAAACGTGCATCAGGCTCCCTCTTTCCCTTTTACGTCTACTTGTGAAATACACAAACGTGCATCGGGCTCCCTCTTTCCCTTTTACGATAGATTAAAATCCTACGCCATCTTTCTAGGCTTTGTACAACCAAAACTGACTCTTAGATCTTTGACTCTGTCAGGAGCTTCAGGTCAGTTCCTCATGTAGATGCAAAAGTCATAGCAACAACGTGTGTTGTCATGCCGTTGGCGTTATGTTGGCAGTGCACCAGGTTACATCAAGTACATCACCGAAGCACTGCATTTCACCAGCATCACAAACACAGCTGATTGGCCTGCAGCTCAGAGATTCAGGACTGTGCAAGGCGTTCCACTTGAGGACATGTAACTTGCGTACAGCTATCCCTTAGGGATGACTTTCCCAACCCTCTAAGCTCCATGTACGTTATGTTTATACTGAAACCATTCCCTGTCATGGGTAACACAACTTCTCTACATTCTCAAACCACGGGTACCTCTTATGTCACTACCGACTTCTCCAAGGTTATGAATCTAGGGGGCTCTTCATGAACTTGGCCCAAACTGCCTAATCTGTTGTCAGGAAGCTGGTAGGCTCTGCGCACCGCTTTCTCCTCTTCCGGTCCCTTTCCTGGTTCTTCTCCTACCTCAGGTAGATACGGGCCTAACGGGATACCAAAGTGGAGACCAGTTCCAAAACCGCTCCATTCTTGAGGCCCTCCCATCTTGTCTACCATTCAGACAGGATTACCCCCAACCCATGGTAAATTGCATAACTGTAGGTTGTGCAAGATTGCAGCCTTGACGCTCATCCACTTTGACGACATCAAAAGTCATTAACAGACCGCCGTTTCCCAGCAAGTGGCAACCAGAAAAAGAGGAAAGAATGGACTGCCAAGCACCGATCACACAAGCCGTAACCGCTTTGTGAATGGGGATAACAACAGGCACAATGATGTTAAAAAGAACATAGTAATTACTAATTATGGCATCAACAACGCACGCCGTATCAGGACCGTATTTCGGCTAACACAAACAATATACCTGGTATTGTCAGCAGGAATCCCAGAGTCTCCATTCTGTCTCTCCGTTTCAAGTGGACGCTCCCTTGATCTGCTCCGACTTCGACTGGATGAAATAGCACAAGAGGAGGACAACCTTTGAGACCGAAACTATCGTGGCGGGAGAAAATTGGATATGCGGAATGGAAGGAAAAAAAACAAGTAACAAAGAGTGCAGCTTCCCGTGGCATCAGCATCTTCACCACTCGTGCATCTCTTTCCATACTCCTTACAAGACTAAGACAGTGGATGGCTGCACCATGGCTGTGCCCACTCACAAACTTTATCATGAAGGAGATGTCGGAAGGTTGCATTTACTTTCATGATAGCCTCAGATGTCAAGCCAGGCTACAGCAGTGTAGTAAGACAACCCCCAATGGCAATCAGAAAATTGCTGAGTGTACTGCAGGTGACAAATCTCCAGCGAGCGATATAGGATCAACCTTAATAAAAGTGTTATTTGTATGTTAGACTTCAGAATAGGTTCATAGGCGTTAACTTAACCTCATAATTTATGCCTTCGCAGTTTTTAGCTCATTTTACCTCCAAGTTTCCATCGAGGAGGAAAGTAGATTTTCTCCAACTCCGGGATTTGATGAGTTGACGTCGCAATTGCATTAATTCAAACCACAATACTAGTAAATAACTCTTGCTCGAATGAAATGAAATGCATACACTATCAATTGAGGCACGCGCAGCGTTGACAACCCTTGACAGGCAATGAAGAGGTCCTCCGAAGAATGTCAAACAATTGCAATGGCCGTTGCAGACGCTCGGTCAACTGAAAGCTATGTGTGGTTGTCTTAATCTAGAACTTGCACTTAAGAAAGAAAGGACGCATGAAAATCGGAACGCCATTGGAAGAACCTCACTTTGATCCCTGGATTTCCTATCAGGAAATAGCAATGAAGTTGACAAAAGTGTGTGTGACGTGAAAAAAGTGTGTGACATGACAAAAGTGTGTGTGACGTGACAAAAGTGTGTGTGACGTGTAAACTTCCCAACAAAGATCATGAACTGAGGAGACAAAAGCAGCAACAAGCATCGCTCAGACACAATGTAACATTCCGGCAGAAGAAATCATACAACAGGAAAGAAGTGAGGGTGGGGTGCAGCTTGCACACATATACCATACGCGCAGAAAACAACTACCATTCACTGTGTTTCCTACTCCAGACCTGAGTACAACTGCACACACCAGCTTTTCACCTCCATGCCTCCACCATCCACTTCCAATTGCATCCACACAAGTAGCATTTCGCAAAAGCCCGTCGAGAGACCGCCGAGTGGGGTGGGCTGGGGCGGGGATACAGAGCGGGAGGCGATGGGATCATTATGCATGGAACTATTTAATCAACTGCCAGACGTTCGCTTGACACCAACACAGCATTCATTAACAGCTGAAAGCAGCTGCTATTCCTTTTCGACTGACAAAAGACAGTCAGAGGGAACGTTTCATCATTCTTCAAGCCCAGGAGGCAAAAGCAACATGGCACCAGTGATGAAGACAAAAAAAGACAGGACCAGTGATAAAGACAAAAAAAGACAGGACCAGTGATGAAGACAAAAAAAGACAAGACCAGTGATGAAGACAAAAAAAGACAGGAAGGGTAAGGGGGTGGTGATAGATGGGGGATGAGACACAGACCAAAGACAACAGCAAAAGGAGGTGACGACAGGCATGAAAGAGGAAAGGGAGGATGGAGATACACAAACATATGCTAACCTTGGATCCAGTTCCCTGCTTGATGCACGTTCTCTGTCAAACTTGGACTTCCCAACTATAGGTGACCGCGACCGGCTTGGTCGTGCACGTGGAGAATATCCGGAATCTCGCGGTTTCTCTGCTGATCGGCTCCGGCTGCGATACTGATAACGATCGTTGCGTTCCCGGCTGCAACTCCGGCTTGCATGCCTGTCACGGTCCCGGCGACGACTACTCAAGTCCCGCTCACGTTCATGGGCCCCGCGGCTTCCTCTTTGTGAATCGCTATCCCGATACATCCGCTCCCTAGAAGCAGGATCCCGATCCATGCGATCACTTCGTTCCATGCGGTCACTGCGGTCCGATCGATCACCACGTTCTGAGCGATCCACCCTATCATTCCCCCAATCCATCCGATCCCGTCCATCCCTGTCCATCCGGTCGCCACGGTCCACGCGATCATGTTCTCGATCGCGTTCCGAGTAGTGCCTATCCCGATCGCGGTCCCGATCTCGGTGATCAACCATATATCTACCCCTGCAGACCAACCACAGGTTCAACACAAGTTACAACTACTTCAGTTGAGAGTAACAGGCATACCGAAATGGCAAATTCAAAAAGAAAAAAGAAAGAGCTCAATCAACAGCTCGATGAGCCATTAAGCATCCGTCTCACCAAGTACGAGAGCCAGGCCATGGGGGCGGATCTGGGCAGAGCTGGGTAGAGTCCCTGACACTATGGAATTGGACAAGCGCTCACACCAGTATTTCAATTTTCCACAACGTATGAGGCCGAAAATACCACCAGATTCAGTCCAGTCTCCCCGCTGCATGTGCCCTCCCTAAACCCCGAGAGAAAAGCCGGTCATTACCATTCACCCAACCCGGCAGACCTCCCCGGCAAAAGGCAAATCTCGAAACCCAATGAAAACTACACCCACGTGATTTGGCAGCCGCCAAACGACTGGACAAGACCCGAGCCGGTTCTGTCGAATAATGAGCCAGTTCACTGAAGGATGGTGAGGACGATGAAGTCCGTCGTTGCTGGATGACAATGACGATCCAGGAACTTACGCAGGACAGAACAGCAAAGACGCTGCTGCTGGCAAGCAGACTTACTTACGACCCAATCCAGGAATAGGCCAGGACAGCAAAGAAGCAGAAGCGAGCAACACGAAGAGGAACGAAGAACACGAGGAGGACAAGAAAGACGAGCACCACGATGAATGCACAGGAGGAGATCAAGAACAAAAACCTCAAGGAGCTAAAGAAAAGAACGACAAGAGACAGAATGATGAAGACATCCCTGGACACTGAGGGACAGAACTGAAGAGGCAGGACTACAGTGGCTGTGATGCTGCTGCTGCATGGAGTCCACAGAGAGAAAATACAACCAACAAAACTAACAACACTTACCCTCCATATCTACGAGGACTTCGGCTCCGTGGTCGGCTCCCAAAGCCAGGTGTATTCTGCGTTATTCTACCTCGTTGACTGCAAAACAGCTCCACAGAAAGGGGGCCATGACGACCACCTAGAACGTCAATTGATCGTTCAACTATTGTGAATCAAAAGGGCCTGCTCACACGACGACAACTATTGATCGCCAATTTGCCTGAGAGATGAAGCCTTCAACTGAACATTTGATGGTCACATGATGCTCCAGCCAAATCAAAAGAGCCTGCTCACACGACGACAACTTTTTCCGAGAGGTACCTCCGGACTGCAATCACGGTCCAGTGGAGGTTCAACATGTCCCGATCACGACGTGAATAAACTACGTAAGACATTTGCTACCCCAAACCCCCTCGGTCAACCAAATTCAACTGATTTTTCACTGGGAGGACACACCCGAGGAGTAGCCAAGCGGCAATTGACGGACAAACCGATGACCCTTCAAGACAAACACGACAGGGGTGGAATTAAGAACCGCAGAGGCAAGACTTTCGGAAGTTCAGACGAGGATAACCTTCACCATCCGCCCTGGTTTACCAGCAGCTCTCTTTTTTTTCTGTTGATCTGTCGCACGCACGATCAGACACCCAGCAGCATTCTTATTCTCATTTCCTATCCGCAGGGGTTGCCCCAAATTTTCTGGAGGTAATGGTCGTTCAGTCTAAACCATCACCACCAATACACTGTGGCACGGTAGATGCTAACATACCCACACATGTGATCGAAGCTCAAAGTTCTAGGACGGTACCGGTACTGCACTGGGCCGAAGTCTCTCCTACCCTTCCCAAACATGTGTGCATTTTACAGCTAAAAGTGTTAAGCCACCAGTACACAGCCGCACCCTCGCAAACTTTCTTCATGGCTCACTCCTAGAATTTCGGAGGCCCAGGGCTACCAGACCACAATGGCAGGCCGCACCGCCACTCGCAGTTCAGCAAAGCTTGGAGCACAGTGCGCTGCCGCCAGGCCCCGGTGTACTGGTGGTTTAGCATCCAGACCATGACAACATCGTAGCCAATCTTGGATCCAGGCACGGCAAACCTCTGGCAATCTGGCCGGGCAACATACAGGACCACACCAGAGTCAGGCCATACTCAACTATGACATTTTTACTTATTTACAGACGGGGACGTTTTTTCTCTGTTCGCGGGGCCACAGAGACGAAGCGACTGCTGCTGGGAAAAAAATATTGAAATCAGATGCAAACATCCTTTTCCTGGGTGTTGTCATGCAAGTCGAAAATAGTGCAGAAGTAGCGGAACACAACACTACTGGAGGATATCGCTTCGGCATGTATTAGGTCTTGTATTCGTGTTAGCTAGATGGGTGTCTTTTGTCGCCTCCTGATTCGGTTGTAGGACCTTAAGTCATCAGCAGATATGTCCCAACAACCAAATCAGAAGTCCGTCATCCTTTTCCACCTCACGGAAAAGCATGCATGGCATCTGGCTAACACACATACAAGACCTCATATTGGGCACTGTGGACTCCAAGCACGCATGCCAAAGCGATATCCCCCAGTAGTTTTGTGTTCCGCTACTTCTGCACTATTTTCGACTTGGATGACAACACCCAGAAAAAGGATGTTTGCATCTGATTTCAATAGTTTTTTTCCCAGCAGCAGTCGCTTCTTCTCTGTGGCCCCGCAAACAGAGAAAAAAGACCTTTTGCATCTGCAGATAATGCAGACGAGAAGTTTGGCATGCTCATCACCTCTCATCCAACTTACTTTTGTCTCTTCTTTGCTAACTTCCGTATCGATTTCCAGGCCATTTTCGAGAGAACTTCCATCACAGACCCTCCAACCCTCTGAGGAGACGCAGGGACCCCAGTTTTTCAAGCAGGCATGTCTACAAGACGACAGTTTCAAGCAAGTCCAATCAAAAAAGACAGGTTCCACCCCAGTTTCACCCGGCCATTGTGACAGCCACCCTCTTCCCCCAACCACCACGCTCTCGTCACAGAATGTACAAGCCCTGATGAGGGTGCAATATATGGTGAGGGCAACTGCTCCCGGCCAAGTTTGAACCCGCTTATCGTGGAAGCTGCCGTCTTTCCCCGACCAGCACTGACCCTCATCATGAATGTGTACAAGTCATGATGAGGCTAAATTACGTTGGGGTATAGACCCCAGCGTAATGCAATGTCCCTACGCAGCTAAGCGTGCAGTGATTCTGCAGACCAACTTTACGGCCAGAATATCTGACGATCCCTCACACAGCGTGCACACACATACTCAGTTTCCAAGTGCAACACAGCCACCAACACAAGAAAAAAAACAGCAATAGAACCAACTGCAAACCCACACAAGGTCTGTGCACCTGTTACACCTGATTGCCTGCCATCAGGACGAACCCCCATCTCAGCGTCCAAAGAAAACAACTTATCACAGCAGCGGCTGCATCTGGTGTCTCTATCTATAGCCCAGATAAATATCCATCCAAAGGAGAATGTATCACAGCAGAGCCTATAGCCTCCATAAATACACATACCCCCCATAACTATAGACAACACCCCCCATATTTTGGCGAACATACACAGACCCCTCCTAAAGAGATTCCGCACAAAGCCATTTCAACAACAATATCAGGGAATCGAATTACAAGCAACATCCAACACGCCGACGAAGAGCCAATGCAGTCACAGAGCTGAATCCAATGCAGTCACAGAGCTGAATCCAATCCAGCCATTTTGGTCAAGCCAGAGAGATGCACACTTACATCGTCTCATTGTTCCTTCCATACTTGGCATACTGCACAACAATCTCCCTTCCGTCCACCACTCTTCCTGATTCGCAAAGCGAGCAAGCATTCACCGCACAACAAGCCACTCACGACTTCAAAACGTATAACTCCACATGTCAAGACATGTGCTAGGGTGTTTAAGACATGGGCTATGGGGTAGAATCGCGGTGTGCCGGAAAGGAACGAGCAACTCTGCCGATGCTCTCGAAGTAGTTTGCTCCAACAGTATTCACAGCAGCAATCCAGCAACGCAAACATCCTTGCGAGATCCGGCCATCTTTGTGACTTGCAAGACCTGGCCTTCGTTAGGTGATCCGGTCATGTAGAGACTATTCATGTTTGGGGAAAAGCTTGGCATGAGACTACAGTGTTCACCCAAATACAACGCCGGGTCATCATACCTGTACTTGGTATGACTTTCAGTACAGATAGAGCGATAACTACCAGGCGTTCTATTTGGGTGAAGACGGGGAATGGTGGTGCTGTTCCAAGAACAGATGCATACGATAACAGCTTTCCGGCTGACAATAACACAAATAACATTGGTTACAGATGTATCATCAAGGTGTGAGTGCTTGTTAGGTGGGAAGCCATTGCCGCACACCTGTTCCCAGAATGGTGGTGCTATGCCACGAACAGAAGTGTGCGCCAACGGTTTCCCAGCTGTGCCAACGTCACACACATAGGTCACGGATAGACGATCTCGGTGAGTGACCACTGTCCCACACATCCGTTCTTGGAACAGGCTTGGCATCAGACCTGGATCGGAATGTTCCGAGAGCATTCTGATACTGTTGCGAGAACAGATGTCAGCGACAACCGTCTCCAGCCTGACCATAACACACATAGATCATCAATCCGCGTGAGGTGACGAAGTGGCAAGACAGACTTAGCAGGGCAGACTTGAGAAAACCCCAGTGACAGCCAACCAGCCAGGTGTGGAGAACTACCGCCCTAGCAGACCACACGCTCTATAAAGCAGTAGGGCGTTGATATGTTCAGGGTCCATTCATGAAGAGGCCTTCGGAAGCATAACCATGCAGATATCATTCAACGAGACAAGTTGGTTTAGATGCCCACGACACAAATCTACGATTCGATATGTTCTTTAGACACCTTCATAATATAGATGAGAAAGAACACACACACACACACACACACACACACACACACACACACACACACACACTTTTTGTAAGAGTAAAGCAGACCACTTTTCTCAGGGGTATATCTAACTTGACCGATGAGGCAAGTCCTTTATCCATCAGTCAAATGCATCCTGGGTAGACTATCGGGTTTCAACCTCCTGATGAGCCGGTGAAAGTCAACGAAACAGTCTGTCGCCCTCATATACCGAACATACAACACACACACACACACACACAAACACATAGGCTTTGTTGTGGGAGAGTAAATCGTTGGGTTTATCGTGTGCTGGCAATTGAGTAGGCATCGGAGCAAACAGACTGACACCCAGACAAACAGTCTTCTTCTTCTGGGTATTAAAAAGTCCGTAGACGTATATACGACCCATTTACGATGAATCCAAATTTCAGCACCTGGTGGAACGAGAGCCTGAGAACCGCCATAAGATAAATCATCAAGTTACTTCCTCTCTCTGGTAACCCAAAGAGTACTGATTGCACAGAGGGGACCAGAAGAAGATACATCCTCCCTACATCCCGACAGACGAAACATGCACATAATGCTCCCCTCCGAGAAAGGAAGAAAGAGATTCAAACGCAATAGTAGAGGCCGTACATCAGAAAAGAACAGCTCCCTTCTCATCTTTCGCATATGCTCCACTACTCTGTCACCCTCAGCATGCCTCCACTCGGTCATAATCCCCTCCACCGCCGCCGGCGCCCTCACTCTCCGTCCATGCATTCACAAGGCAGCAGCTCTGCTCACATGTTACAAGGTGAGGCGAGACGGGCACGAGGCAGCAGAAGATACATGAATCGTATAGAGTCCCTCAAGCGATCGCCAGTGCTATTACCCGATGGATAGCTAAGACGAAATAGAATACAGAGAGTTCAGACAAGACAAGCCGTGCGTCCCAACATGCCTAGCCCAGGTGGTGCACCCATGAACTGCTAAAATACAGACCCAAGTTCGAGTCCAGATGCAATCAGGCTGAACTGGTTATGAAGTGACTTTTTTTGGGACTCAATCGAGTGGTATTTTCATGGGAATTGTATTTATTGCTGTAGGTTTTTTATGGAAAATAACTGCAGTTCCTTTTCATATGTGGGCACCTGATGTATACGAGGGTTCTCCTACCTCTGTCACAGCTTTCTTTTCTATAACACCTAAGATTGCTGTTCTTGCAAATATGTTACGTGTGTTTCTTTTCAAAATCTCAATTGCCTCCACCCTATCAGTTCACTGATTATATCTAAAGGCCGTGGCGCTCTCAGGGGAAAAAAAAAAACACAAATGACAAGCCGTGGGTGCCTGCGATGTCTTCTCATGGCTCACCGTCGAGACGATCAATAGCTTTAAACGCCTCGTCCGCGTGCTTGTACCGCACAAACGCAAAACCCCGTGAGTCGCCCGTCCTGAGCACATAGCCAACCGAAATAACACCAGTACACAGAACGAATGAGAATAACCGAAATAAATACCACATGCTTGTTCGGCGTTCGGAGTTGCACGAAGAGAATAGAGAGAACAGATGTACACACAAACGCAAGTGAGCAACCGGGAACGGAGAGCAGGAGCGGCAGAAACCAACCGCGCCTGCCCGCCCCCCCCCCCTCTCTCTTGAACACACGACCAATGGTGAAGTACTTGGAAGAGGCCATCAAATAAAATACGGACCTACCAAAACTACCAGCCCTATATAAGAGAAAAAAACCCACTAGACGTTTCAGCTCAACAATGAAGAGCAATCTGTTCCGGTCCAAGTCCGCCCCCCCTCTTTCTCCGGCACCCCTACCGTGGTGCAGCCTCTTGACCAATCACCATCGACCTTGCGCCTGCCTCAGACAACGACACATCAACGCGTTGTTATTGCGGTTATCCACACTCGTACTCATCTGGCATTTCTCTCTCTCTCTCTCTCTCTCTCTCTCTCTCTCTCATCCAGACCTTCCAAACAACCTCCCCCTCAGGTCTGTAATGTGAGCTTCCATACACCACCTCCCCCTGACGATTCTCCACCGCATGTCTGCCGCTATAGACCAAAGCCAATGGGCCTCGCTCCAACGAAAAAGTATCAAATCCTTCGGACTGCCTTCTTATCCAGATACATTCGCATTGATCCAAGATTTATTTGCACACTGCACCAGCACCAGATCCGGCCCAACGCCAATTCCTGTAAGTCCTCTACTACATTAGATGCTATACTATTATTCCCCGCCAGTCGCCCACAGGTCAAGAAGTCGTTCGTTTCTACTCTCTCTCTCTCTCTCTCTCTCTCTCTCTCTCTCCCCATTATTCCCCGTCAGGGTCACCTAAACAGAACCTGTTGGGCTTGCAACGATAATGGCCAGAATGATGACGCCCCTGGACGCCTGCACATCCCGGTGTAGATCATGGACCTGACCGTTCACAGGACCAAGTACATTTTGTCAGGGGCGTTCTGGTCATCTCAGAACCACTGAGACATACCTCTCTCCTTTACTTGCTGGTGCGCTGACCGTTCATCTTTGCCTGGGGCAGAGATTCATATCTTTGGCTCAGTTCACTCAGATCGTTCCCTTTTTGATAACCAAATCAATTCCTTCCGTTCCCAACACCATATGACAAAACTGTATTTCCTGACGATAAGTTAATGTAATTCGGCCCATATGCTCATTTCAACATTCTTCTGTTTCTCCATTCCGTCCTCATCAATTGCTCCCCCCTAAACTGATCATGCACCCGGATCATGGATGTATACAAGTTATCTTTCCGGTCCGATGCAGTCCTCCTGATGGTCCATTGTGTTGGGCGGAAGACCGTCGTTATTTCCAATGACTCCCTCGCTCTCCTCTCACGTCTAGACTGCGACTGAATGACCGACTGTTTAGTCGTTCAACAGCGTCG